CATGAAATATCAGAAATAACAATTAGGTAAAAATTGGGAGAAAATGATTTTACATGGGTGTGCTGTAGTAGGAGGCAAGAATAGCAAGTAAAAAGGAATACAAAGAGCGTAATACCAAACTAATAGAAATTGCTTTGGAAATGAATTTGTTTGTGTGGTGGAGGAGATTTATTTTTAAAGTTGGCCATTGCAGTGTGAGTAGAAGTACCGATCTAATCAGATCCAAAGTACAGATCTAATCTCCTTTTAGAGTCTCCCCGGAAGGAGATTATTCCGATTTCTGGGGTTTTTTAGTTCAGTGTCTTTAATAAGCATGTGTATGTTTACAAAACGCAGTAATATTTATCTGTTCAAGTGAGCATTGTCTACACACAAGAATACAAAACAGTTGCTTTGTCAGGCTACTGTAAAGGCCTTTATAAAGAAATTGGAAAGTAATGGTATCCCTCCACTGCAGATGCAATCTGAGCAATGTGATTTTTGTGAGAAAATCCACTGATGCTGCTTTTAAAGTGAAAAAAATACTTCATGTACTAATATCTAGAAAACCACTTACGGATGAAATCTGTTTTCTTTTTGAAAGGAATTTAAAATGACACCTTATTCTTCATGCAGTTAAACCTGAGGCACTTCCGACGAGGGAGGAGGAGATCCGGTGCTGTAGTAGCACACACTGGATACTCTCCACATCAGCAAGATGCTCATGAAGTTCACAGGAACGTCCCTCCGCATGCAAATGCACTCTGTCACTTTCATATCGCTGCCAGCATCAATCCAGCCACAGGTGAGAAGCGCAGTAAATCCTTGCTACAGGATAAACTACGGTTCCTGTTAGATATGTGTTGCTGCATAAGCCTAACTTAGGTTTATTTGTAAAATAGTAATACAATCGTGCAAGATCCCCTAGGTTATTGGTTTCATTTAATGCACAGAAGAAACTACAGTAATGAAGTGCTTGGAATAAATGTTCTCTGCAGTAATAGTATCCTTCATTTTGAGTTGTTTTTAACTGAGATTCACAGTAGACTGACATATACAAGGGTAAGTATTTGTAAATGGAGTTGCAGGTTCATTGGGAGTTGTGCTGGGTGCAAAAAATAACACATTGAGAACACACTGATAAATTAATTCCGAGGCTTCTCGGAATGAGTATCTGACATCAAAGGTCTGAAGTAACCGTACATATCTGTACTACTTTCTCTGAACTGAGCGGAACAGACCTAGAGCTTCTTCTTGTTTTATAAATTTAATATTCATTTGCACTCAAGCACCGTGTTGATAGCACTAAGCAGAAGCCCATTCAGAAACTAGTGCTTCTGCTTTTGTAATGAAGTTTGTCTATGTTGAAAATGAAGCGTATGTCCAGTCATGGAAAAACTGAGTAGAAATACAATATTGAACTTCCTCTCATTAAGTTTTACTGCTGTGATGTGATTTCCTGTGTGCAAACTTAGCAGGCAGTCATACTATATAACACTTTTTAAAGGCTAGACAAACTAGTTAAGTTCCATCTTAAACATAGTATTTTTATTTATTTGATTTTTACTCCTACTGGCTCTTTTTGAAAGGCAACTCTTTGGACCTAAATATATTCGTGATTAGTTCATACTTAACTGTGATATCCTTGCTAGGTTAAAGAGAAATGCTCACCCTATTTTACTTTCAATTTGCTAGGCTAAGCAAGCTCTAAATGCTTTCTCCTATAAGGTGAGAGTTAGTTATCTTCACGTGTTCTTGTTTATCTTTCTTTAACATATATGACCAGAATTGCTTAAAGCTTGCCAAAAATAGACTTCCAGCTGTTTTGTGCAATACCATCAATCCTGTTGCTGCAGAAAATATCTCCAGTCAGTACATCAATTGCTACATAATGTCACAAAGGAAAGTTTGTGTGACAAATCTTGGAGACTTCAAGTTCTCCTGTTCGCATTTCTATCTCATCAAATGTATACAATGAGCTAATAAACCTTTTCATGTGGTTAGCACACTTCTTTTTTTTTTTTTTTTAATACATACTCTTGATGCACTTCTGTTTATACAGACTAAGGAATCTTTACTTTGGCTTTTAATAGTCTTTGCAATGTAACTGAGCCAAACAGCAAGCTTGCAGAGCAGGAAGGGAAATAATTTTGGAGAAGAGTAGTAAAGGATTTTTCTAGGTGTCTAAGCCGTAGCTGTCTTTGCCCTTTTAAATTTTTCTTCTTCTTTGTTTTTGTGTATTAGTAATATCCTGCTTGATACTGTTCTTTGGATCATTTCGTCTGTAACTCTTACAGTAGATTTGGGGGAGAAGGGATGATTCTTTAATATTTTATTTAGAACCTCTGTTCTAAGTAACTCTTATCTTGAGCTTTAATTTGAAGAACTATCTGTTCTGCCTCACAATCAATTTCTTAAGTGCCAGGTTCTCTAAGTAGTCCTTTTGGTTTGCCCGTTTGGAATCAATTTTTATCTGAAAACCTAATTGTATTCTCTTTCATTTAATTCAAACCGCATCAATTTATGATCTTTCACTCCATGATCTGCCCTTTTTACAATATTCAAAGTACTTGATAAAAACTAAGGTCAAAACATCACGCATGTCACATAAAGGGATACATGATTTTCTAATTTTATCATTAATTTTGAAACTAATTTTCTTATAGTGACAAAGTTCTTGAGACTTTCTTTTCTGCTGAAGAGTTACTCAAATTTAAATTCAGCCTGGGTGGAGTTCAGTAAAAGGAATGAGCAAGAGTTGGTTGGACAGAATTATATTTAGGGAAAGCCAGAAAGAGTTAATGATTTTTTTTTTTTGTTCTTTCTAAAAACCTTCTAAGGCCTTTGGATTTAAACAAGTGCGACTATGAAGCACGTAGAAATTCACTAGCTAAGGATTTTGGCCAAAACTGAGCATTAGTTAACAGTTGGTAGTCTTCAAGAAGACCTAGTAGTCCTACAGTAGAATAACAGAAGTATAGAGATGGGAAAATAGAGAAAAACGTGATTTCCTTCAATCAAACATCCAAAAATCCTTAAAGTACCTAGATTTATGTTCTAATATCAAGTCATCTTTCCAGTTCACCTTGTTCATGTTTGCTGTGGTTATCTACCCTTAAGAGAAAAAACTTTATTCTCCACTCTGATTTTTCTGTTGTTGCCAAATCCATTATCATGTTTTTGTAGTTGGCAATAATTGTCTTTTCTAGGAAGACTGACAGTATTTCTGAAATCCTCTGTTCCTTTTTTATGCTAAGATTGCAGGTAGTCACGTTGATCTTTTTTTTTCTTTCTTTCTTTCTTTTCTTTTTAACTGTGTGCTCTGTTATCATTTTCTTAGCTTAGACTGGAGCATAAATAATTCAAAACTATTGCTGGTGTAAAAAACAGGATTGGAATAAAAAGTATTTTGTCTCCCAGGCGATGGAATTCATGTACTACCGCATAAATAGCGAGTAGAAGGAGATGAGAATATGGAGACTTCTAGGCGTGAATTAAGTATAGGTTGAGCCTTTAGCTATTGCCATATGGCCTATTTGAGAAACTGCAGTAATTCACTTGGCTGTCTTTGTTTTGTTTTGTTTTTTTACTATGTTTATCTTAGATGCTATAACTCTTTTATCAGTCTGAAACTCATTTCTGTCACTTTGTAATTACTTTATTTTTAACATTAACCTGTCAGCGTGAAGTAGTAAGGGGGTTGATAAGAATCTGAAATCCTGAAATATCACACAATCCTGTGTGATAGCGTTGCAGAGGACACGTCTGGTCGCTTAGTTCTTCCTAGCCATCATCTGTGGTCCATGGTACCAACATATGCATACTGTAGCCCCTGTTCTGAAATAAACATCAGCAAACTATGCTGAAATGATTTGGTTTGTACTGAGCTGTAGTAGCAAAAGCAGGGTAAATTGGCCTGCATGGACAGCTTTGTCATGAATATGTAGCCCAGGGTCATGCTCTAACCCTAACATAAACATGGCTAAGAGTCTCCCTTAGAACATGGTTGTTGTGTACATCTTCTTGTGGATAGCAGCCAAACAGGATAATACTACAAGCGGATGATGTTGGTGAAAGGAATGACAACTAGCAATACGCTTATTCCCAGCTGCATTTTTTTTCATAGTAACACTTCTGCTTAAAAACAATTTTTCAAAAATCACTTTTTGTCCTATTCAAACTACTTTGTTTTGAAAAATGTTTTTAATGTTTCTTCTGGTAGATATTCCTCTGCTTCCTTCTATCACATCTCTGAGTCTTGGTGAAAACGAAGAAAAAAATGGACCTTTTGTTGTGCATTGGCTAAACAATAAAGAACTTCATTTTACCTTATCCATGGAAGTATTTTTGCAACAACTTAAAAAGAGTTTCGAACATCATTCTCCTGAGACAAATGCTGAGGAATCTAATCAGGTGGATGGTAAATCAGAAGAAGGTAAAAGTTCTTGGCTATCATTTAATAAAGTAATAAGTAATGTTGTTCAGTGTAAAGTAAGGGACAGGTGACTCAGCATCTAAGGATGCAGATAGATTACGGTAGCATTTTTGTGCTTTTCCTTCCCTTCCACTGGAAGAACCTAAATGGTTTTTAAAATATCTGTTTCTAGAAATCCTGAGTTTGTTAATGATTATTTCAGAGCATTTTAGTACTTTATGCTGAAAACTGTCACCTTAGGTGTTTAGGCTGACCTGAAGACTTTTGCCTGGAGGTATGTTATTTTAATATCTTTAAGGAAGCAGATACAATCTTAGAACTAAGAGGTTTTTTTAGTTTTAATATTAATTTACACCCAATTTAAATATTTTTGTTGTATAACGTTATATAAACAATTTATTTAAATATGCGTAGTTGGGAGATGACTGCTTTTGTTTTGCCTATGCATTCAAGAATTTAAGTGGGAGGAGAAAAAGTATTTCATATTAAGGTGCAAAATAATCTACTTTGTTAGTCATTGACTGAGGTCTACAATGGAACTTCTAGTTTGAATTTTCATTATTTTTAAATTGTGCTTGTATGAATGATGTAGAAGAAGCTTGAAAGGTGCTCCATTGCCTGCTAGCTTTCAGCTTGTGGATATATCTGTGTATGTTCTAGAAGCTAATGAAAATGGAGCTGAACCAAAAGGAAATCAGGAAAAGAAGGAACTGGGTGGTGAGAAAGCTACTCCAAATTCAAGCTTTATTCCTTTATCTTCTGCCATTATCGATCATGAAATTGAAGTACTGCTTTCTGAATGGAGTAAGAATGCTGACATGCTCTTCAGTATACATCCTATGGATGGTTCGTTGCTGGTATGGCACGTGGACTGGCTAGATGAATACCAGCCTGGCATGTTTCGCCAGGTGCAGGTACTTTATATTTTCTGCATTATGTGTCGCTACTCAATGAGAAGTATGCGGTGAAAATAACTTGAATTCCTTCTCTCTTCCTTAAATTTCTAGGTGTCGTTTGTCTCAAGAATTCCAGTTGCATTTCCAACGGGTGATGCAAATTCTCTTTGCAGAAGTATAGTGATGTATGCTTGTACCAAAAATGTTGACTTGGCTATTCAGCAAGGCAAACAAAAGCCCCCTGGCCTTACGCGATCTTCATCTATGCTTATCTCTTCTGGGCACAGTAAATCAACCAACAGCTTAAAATTAAGTATCTTCACACCTAATGTTATGATGATTTCCAAACATGCAGATGGGTCTCTGAACCAGTGGTTAGTGAGCTTTGCTGAGGAATCTGCTTTTTCAACTGTACTCAGTATTTCACATAAATCCCGTTACTGTGGTCACCGTTTTCATCTTAACGACTTGGCTTGCCATTCAGTGTTACCATTGCTGCTTACAACCTCGCATCACAATGCTCTGAGGTCACCAGAGGTTGAGAATGCAAAACAGACAAATGATTCTTTAAAATCTCAGGAGTCACCATTAAGACATCAGAATAGAGGCAATGCAAATGTAACATCCCAGGATCCCAATGCAGTTTACAGTGAGCTTATTCTTTGGCGAGTTGATCCTGTTGGGCCATTGTCCTTTTCTGGTGGAGTTTCTGAACTTGCTCGGATCAATTCCCTCCATGTTTCTGCATTTTCTAATGTTGCGTGGCTGCCCACACTTATACCCAGCTATTGCCTCGGTGAGTTTAGTTTCCTGACTTGTTAAGTGTTTTAGAATAAAAGTCATTTAGTGTCAAAAATGCTATTAAATAGGCAATATAGTTATACTTGAAAGTATTGAAGAAATGTTAAGCCGGGACCCTTTATTTTACAGTTTTCTAAGTTGCTGACGTTTCTAACTTGTGTATCGTTCTGTGAAGACTTACTGTGTTCTTTCTAGCTTCTAATACATATCGTTATGTACTTGATGATTTAGGAGCTTGTGAAGTGCGGGTCTTAGATGCTGGTATACGTTAGATTATAAACATCTCAACAATGATTACAGGCTACGGTCAACACCTCAAAAGCAGAGGTAGATTTTGTAGGTAGTTCATAAATGGAATTCTGATTTCCATTAACGTGCTGTAACTTTTGGTTCAACTTAGTAGTTTTTTGCTTGTGAACAGAAGTTAACAGGCAAAATTCTTTTTCATATTATATTTTTTTCTTTGATAACGTCCAAATCGTCTCTGGCCAAAAAAGGGGGACTGTTGGTGTTTGATACACGTTTGCGTACTTTGTGCTTTTCTGTTTTTCAGGTGCATACTGTAATTCTCCAAGTGCCTGCTTTGTGGCTAGCGATGGACAGCATTTGAGATTATATCAAGCTGTAATAGATGCTAAAAAACTTTTGTGTGAGCTCTCCAACCCTGAAATTTCAGTAAGTGAAACCTGCCCTAAGTTTTTGGGGGTTGTAATTTAATTCAGTAGCATGAGCTTCAGGCTTGCTGGTATCTGACCAAGCTTGCTGCAGAGGCTGCTGCAGGCTGTAATTGCTTAGCTCTGCTTGTAAAATCAGATACGATAAAGCTTCTTAGCATTGCGGCCATGCTGTATTCCATTTAATCTTTCCAACTGAGCATATGGAGTCAGGTCAGTGTTTGGTTGGGAAGTACTCATGAAACACTTATGCTGCAGGGCGTAATAACAGAGCAAGAAACTGTGCTGTGTGCGTCCTAAGGAAAAGTTGAGATACAGTTGTAGCTTAGTGAAAGGACAATAAACTGATTGCGATGCTTTCCAGATGAGCCATGCAAGTTCTTGCAACCTTGCAGCAACCAAAAATAATGTGACTCTTGGGAAGACTAAGCATGTTACGAAAGTTGTTGGTGAATTGCAGCCTGTTCAGAAATGCAAAAAGCTGCGTTAACAAGACCATCCCACTGTGGTGTGGTGGTTTTTTCTTTTTTTTCTTTTTCCTTTTTTGTTTGTTTTTTTTTTTAACAGAAATATGTTGGTGAAGTTTTTAACATTGTGAGTCAGCAATCTACTGCCCGTCCAGGATGTATTATTGAACTGGATGCCATCACAGAGCTTGTAAGATCTTTTGTATTCTTTTTATAGCATTAATATCTTGCATAAAATGTGTTTAAAAATGAAGGCTACATTTGTAGCTCTCAATCAAGTTAAAGATGAAGTAGTTAAAGACTTGACTCTGGCATGTGCCTGCTTCTAGTTTCATAATATCCGTAAATGAAGAAAACTTGAATGATAGTGTTTTTTATTGAGAAATCTTTCATTGATGTGGCCAACTTAATCAACTTAAAGGCTCCCATCTTAGAGAACAACATTATTAACTTACTCCACGATATTCACGTGTGTGTCTGTGTGTGTGTGTGTGTGCGCGTGTGTGTGGCTTTTTCTTTCTTTTTTAGCACGGTAGGAAAACACAGTTATTTCATGTTTTTCAAGAAGACTTCATTTTGAATAACCAGGAGAAGGAAATGCCTGAAACGAAGAACAACTTACCAGACTCTGGTAAAGAAATCTCTTTTTGTCTGTAGAATGAAAAATACAATACCTGATCTTCAACATTTATTTTATGAAAAAGAACCTGTGTAACTTTTTGCATTGTAATGTCCAATATGTTTATCTAAGATCTTTATATACCAAAGAGAAATTCTAGTTTCCTGGAACTCATAGGAGTTTTTTGAGGAGCGCCACTTGACCAAATTTGAGACCAAGTAGTTTGTCGTGAGGTACCCATCCTGTACTGTATGAAGCATTCTATTGCTGATAACTTTGTTATCAGCAAGGGAGGAAGAGGTATTTTAAAGGCAAAGCTTGTAGCTATGGAATATGACATAGACAAAGCTTACTTTGTTTTTTTGCACACGTGTGCGCTTGTAAAATACAGTGTTCTAAATATTGTGTGGGTATTACATAGCTGTAGTTTTAGAAGATATTCTGTAGCTCTTTGGGCAGTTGCTAATTCCACTGGAAGAGATGATCAGTTCTCCTTGGTGAAGTGGGTTAATGGTTGAATTATATAGGCATCTCACTTTTGTTCTGTTCAAAATTTTCAAATGATCTGGAAAACAAGGGTCAGGATAAAATGACAGTCTATGATACCAACTAATTTGAGGGAGTAAAAGGAAGGCTCAATAAAAAGGAGCAAGGTTGCAGAACGGCCTCCTAATGTTGAGGGTAACAACATGGTACGTGAAACTTATTTCATAGAAAAAAAGGGAGACATTAGGAAAAATGACCTGAACTGTGTATGTACACATTGCATTCTGAGCTAGTTATTACTACTCGAGAAAGATCGGGAGTAATGGAGATAAATCTATGAAAACATTAGCCCAACTCTCACTAGAGGTCCAAAAATGCATATGGAATGTTAGAAATTTAAAACAAAATAGGGAACTAAAAAGTAAGGTGTTAGGCCACAGCATAAGTTTGTTTTCTTTTGGCATCTCAAATACAGTGTGCAAAAAAATCTGTAAAGAAATACAAGAGCTACTCTAAAGCCTTGGTAAGAGGAACAGCTGAAAGTCTGCAACTCCTCAGCTTGGAAAAGAGGCAGACAACTGAATACATACAGATATGCTTAGTTATCTATCTGGGGGTCCAGAATTAATGATATTCACAGATAAATGCATGGGAATGATTATTCACTGCATCTTACAATACAAGATGGAGAAGATATCAAATGAAGCTAGTAGGTGGCAAGTTGAAAGTAATGGAAGGTACTTTTCCGCAGAGTGCCTAGTAAAAATATGTGGAACTTGGAGCATGGTTGTTGCTAGAAGCTGTATAACAGTCGGGTATAGCCAGGCCATTGCATTTGAATATCAGTTTACAATAACTTAAGTAAGATTATTTGCTAGCCGGCGAAATGTCATGTCATGTTTGGTTCAATAACCCTTAAGATCCTCCTGTTCTGAATTTCATCAGGGTGCCAGCAGAATGGATTCTCTGAAAAATTCTACTTAATAGTAATAGAATATACTCAAAACCACTCGTTACTACACATGTGGCACTTACACTTGAAGTCAATTCCCGTCTCATTAGGTAAGCCCTTTAGTTTTGATGTAAACATTTAAAAAACAAACTAACTAACTGGTTTTAATAAGGGCTAACCAGTTCAGATTCATTTTGCTTCTCAGTTAGAAGTTTTTGTTCTAGTATTCTATATTCTAGTATTTACTATGTACCAGAGTAATCTGTTATAATGCACGGTCTATTATTTAAACAATATTCCTACTTTAAGTACTGATTTTCATAAAAAAGGGGATGAAGCTTTCATATCCCGTAACGTCGAAGATCTTACATTTTCAGTGAATATTAACAAAACTGTTCTGGAAGTACCTTTTTCCAGCTTGAGTTAAGACTTTGAATTCTGCCTTTAATTTTCTCTAGCTATGAGGGTTGTTTGCCTCATGAAACATTAATTTCCATGGATACCACATAGATGTCTGCCTTCTGCAGTTTTGCTGCTTCTGGTTACAATTTGATTGCTTTAAATCTGAAGACTATTCAAAGCTAGACCTTGAGGCAGTTCTAGAATTTTAGAAGTATTCAATATAGGTGGTGTGCCAATATTTCTCTTCAAATGTGAGTTGGGGAACATTTTTCATTATCATGAAAGTAAAATTTTAAGTCTCTAGTTCTGTCCATATTTTTCTGGAGTGTGTTTTTACGTGAGTAAAATTCTTATGTTAGAAATCTAATTGACTCTCTTTAATAACGATGCATCTTTTTGTAGATGAAAAGATAGATTCAAGTACAGCTGAAGCAGCGACACAACAAGAAGGATTATATTCTTCTTCCCCAGATCCAGAGAAGGTCCAATCACTTTTTACTCAGAAGTATCAGGCTTGTAAAGCAAATCTTCAGAGCACCAGCTGGCTTACTCTCTCTTCAAAAATGGTATATAGTCAAGAGTTGAATTTGCCAGAAGGAGTAGAGATTATAAGCGTTAAACCATCAGCAGGTTTGTAAATTTTTTTTTTTTGAATAAAATGAGGAATTGTTGCCTTTCTGATTTAGCAGTAGATTTTAAAATGGTGACAAACGAGTAGTTTGGTATTTTTAGTTAGAATTAAAAACTTGTAACTGGATCCAAATGGTTTGCTAAAATATGATACCCTGACTTCCTATCTGGATCCTGAAATGAATGGCTAAAGTAAAGCTTTTATGTAAGGTATAATACTTGTAGAAATCCAGGTTGTTTTTGCAAACCATCATGAAATTTTCTTTGTGGGACTGGCTCTTAAACTTTGAGGCTTTCATCAGCAGTCTTTCAAAAATATGTTAGAAACCTTTTAGACTTCTGAGAGAAGTATTTGTCTGACAGGAGAAACAATAAACGTCCATTAAACCCCCCCCTTCAGTCCTCTCTCTTACAGTGTAAAAACTGGCACCTAACAAAATTAGTATGCAGGTTTAAAACATGTAATTTAATTCCTTTCTAGAGAATGAAGTGGGGACTGAGGGCAAAACAAATTCATCGTATTTCTGTCTCCTTGTGTTTCCTTTGTGAAAACCAGCAAACAACCCTCTGTATGAGGACATCCGAATGCTTTTTCTTTCAGAATAGTGAAATGGTAACTGAATATAAAGGTCTTTACTCTTGGCTTGCGTTCTAATACATTGTCCTGGTAAAAATGTATTTTATTTTATTTTAGGACATCTGAGTTCCTCTTCCATATACCCTGTTTGTCATGCCCCTTATCTACTGGCTACTTCGTGCTCTGATGGAAAAGTTCGTTTCTGGAGATGCAGAGTGACTACCGAATCGTCAGCTTCTTCAGTGCCAGAATATAATGTACATAGTGATGTTACGTATATATGGGAAGAATGGCCATTACTGATTGAGGATGGACTTCTTAGCAGCAGTGCCATTAATGTTTCAGGAAGGCCAGTTGAAGTTAGTTGTGCACACACAAACAGATTAGCTGTAGCATACAAGCAGACAACGTCTAAAAATAGTCACTTTTCTCAAGACTTTATAATGGATGTTAGTATTTTTGAATGTGAATCTACAGGGGGCTCTTCTTGGATTCTAGAGCAGACTCTGCATTTAAATGAAATAGGCACTATGTTAGACCCTGCTATGAGTGTTGATAGTAATTTAGTGGCATATAACCGACAGGAAGTTTGTCTGTCTCATAGTGGGAATATTATACCCAGCACTAAGCACTTGGTTCACTTAGATTGGATGTCTAGGGAAGATGGTTCACATATTCTGACAGTGGGAATTGGATCAAAATTATATATGTTTGGCCAACTCTCTGGGAAGACGCAAGAACAAAATGGTAAGGAGGCTGTAGTGATCTCTCACAGTGGCAGCATGAAGGCTACAACCCTTTCTAGGTTTGTTCTACTGCGTTGTGTTGACTTGGTTTCTTCTGTAGAAGGGTCACCTCCTTTTCCGGTCTCTTTGTCTTGGGTGCGTGATGGCATTCTTGTAGTTGGAATGGATTGCGAAATGCATGTCTATTCTCAGTGGCAACCTCCTTGCAAGCAGGAGCTGGTTAGTATGGGTTCTTACAGCGGAAGTACGTCATGTATAACAAGCTTAATGAAACAAAGCCAGTCAGCTGCCTCAGGTCTGCATCCACCAAAACGAACCTTGACCAGGTCTATGACCAGCCTTGCACAGAAACTTAGTGGGAAAAGAACTGCCTTTGATCTGTCTACAGAAATGGAAGACTCTGGTCTTTTTGAAGCCGCTCATGCATTATCTCCCACTTTACCTCAGTACCACCCGCACCAGTTGTTGGAGCTTATGGATCTTGGTAAAGTACGTAGAGCAAAAGCCATTCTGTCTCATCTAGTGAAGTGCATTGCTGGAGAAGTTGTTGCTATAAATGAATCTGAACCTAGTCATGATAGGAAACTCAGATCTCTTACAATCAGTGCTAGTGGAAGCACTGCAAGAGATCCTAAGACATTCAGCAAAACTGAGAACACGGACTATATCGAAATAGACTCAGTTCCGCCGTTGCCTTTATATGCTCTGCTTGCTGCCGATGATGATCCCTCTCATTCAGAAAAGTCTAATAATCAAAATAATAAAGATACACCCAATGACAATTATGAAGATCTTTTTCAAAATTCTGCTGTAAGTACAGAGGAACTTGTAATGCTTGATGCAGATGAAGATGACACAAAACCTAAGGTCATTGATCTTTCTCAGTATAGCCCAACCTACTTTGGGCCAGAGCATGCTCAAGTTCTTTCTTGTCACTTGCTTCATTCGAGCTTACCAGGTCTCACTAGGATGGAGCAAATGTCACTGATGGCCTTGGCAGATACAATTGCTACTACCAGTACTGACATTGGAGAAAGTAGAGACAGAAACCAGGGTAAGGTGTCCCTCTCAAATTAGATGTAATACTGTGTTTTACAAACATTATTTTGAAGTTTTTTTCTGTTACCTTTGAGGTTTTTGTGGCTTATTGAAGCATGTGATGGTTTTGTTTCATAGTATTGCTTGTATTATTTGTTGTCACAACAGATGTTTCACTAAAGTTTCGTGACTTCAGACTTCAAATTCTGTATTGGTAACTGCTAATGCGAGTTTGGTGTTCCTTTAGTCAGTCCACAGACCATAATTGTGTTTCTCAATCAATTTTTAAGAATGAACTCTTAAGAGCCACTGTTAGCTCTACTATGTAGAGAAATTAAGATAAATAAGTTATTTTTTATCAAATGAAAAACCACTTTTCTCTTTTTTTGTGTGTTTAAAAACAACTAACTTCACAATGTCTGGTTTGAAATTTTCCTCTTGTATTGAGGGGAAGATTTTTGGATTAAACTTATGTTTATGGATTTAAAGCGTCAGCAGTCAGAATTGTAGGATGTTTCTTCTCTTAAGCAACTTAAAAGCTGTTTTTAATGGTTTCTCTTGAAAAGCACATGAAAATGTTTAATTACAGGTGGAGAAACTCTCGATGAGTGTGGTTTAAAATTTTTATTAGCTGTGCGGCTTCACACGTTTCTAACAACATCGCTCCCGCCTGTACATCGAGCTCAGCTGCTTCGCCAAGGTAACTGAAGCGTTTTCTTAGGTCATGTGAATCCTATTCAGTGAGGTGGCTATGCATGTGATCTGCTGTGCTGTTGACATGCCTCTGCGAAGTTAACGAGACAATTATGTTGTCCTTTTGTTTAAAGCAAACCAAACCCTCCCCCCACCGCAAAACCCAATATGTTGTTGTTCAATATAAATGTATGCCAGAGCAGAAAATGCATACTTTATTTTAGGTAGAGGTCTTGAAACTTAGAATGTGTGTGGTGTGGTTTGTTTTTTTTTTTTTATTTCTCCTCAACGTATCAATAATTTTGTGGTTTCAGATCTCTTCTATTTCCCAGAGCTGTTTTTGGACTTCTGGTACCATGTTCCAGTAGCCTTCTGTGGGAATAATGCAGTAGAAAATATAGAGTATTTGCCTAATGAGTTTTTTGAATACTTATTTGAAAAAGATTCTAATGGCTTATTCAGTCCTTATATTCCTACTATCATTATCCATTGAACTATTTCAAATAAAGTGTTCTTCTTATAGTTTTGAATTTTTTTTTTAAACCTGATACTACAAATGGCAGAATGAGATACTTTTGCTAATTGGTACATCTGCTGATCAAATCTAAGGGCCTGGCTGTGATTACTTCTTAACCCTTTAATTAGTCATCATGACAGTTGACTGCATTTCCAGTCTCATGGCTTATCACCCCTCAGGTGAGATTGAAACTTGCTAATCAGCTGTTGCTGATTAGTAATAGTAATTCTCTTCTGGTTTCCTTTTGTGCGCCTGTTCTCAAACCTGTTTTCTACCAGAATAATTCCAAATTTCAAATTTTCTAAGCCATTCGAAATCAAGATAGTGAAAGTAATTTTCACAACTTTAAAAAGTTTAATTAGCTGGTTGCACTTGGTATCATAGCTAATCTTAAGGCCCCTCATTATAAGTAGATTTTGAGTCACTCTGTTCCTTGCAAAATATATAATGAACAGTTTGCAAGTGGAAAAATGTTTTCCTCTAATGGATTTGTTTAGTATTGTAATGCTTGCGTGTATTCCCAAGTCTCTGCAGTCTTATCAATGGCATACTTAAAAATCCAAAATGAACAATTTGACTGTTTTCCATTTTTCCCCTTCCATGTCCCTTAAATTTATATTGTGGATTATTTTATTAGTGAATCACGCTCTCTTTTTTTTTCTTTATCTCTTTCTCCCCCCCCTTCTCTCTCTGTCTTGCTCTCTCTCTCGCTCACTCTAATGGCTAATTATTTAGGCTTGTCTACTAGTCATTTTGCCTGGGCGTTTCATTCAGTAGCAGAAGAAGAACTACTGAGCATGCTCCCTGCAATGCAGAAAGGTGATCCAACATGGTCAGAACTCAGAGCTATGGGCGTAGGATGGTGGGTCCGAAATAGCCGTAGCCTGCGGAAATGCATGGAAAAGGTAAATATAGCATCCTGAAAGAAAATTAACCAAACTGTTTTCAAATAGCTCTAGTGTTTACTATCTATGAATATAGTGATGAATTATGAGGTATATTAAGTGCTTCTGAATACTTCTTGCTATAACTCATGGGAATCTAGTTTACTTTACAGATATGAACTTTTGTATTTAATAGATTTTTTTTTTTTTAACAGTAGCTTAAGTTTCAGATTCCAGCAGGAAGTATACTTTGAGTTTTTAGATCTTTTGTTTTGAGGGGTGTAGTGTATGAGCCTTATGGTGGAGGCTGAATATACAGTTTTGAGCAAACAGAGTGGGGTTTTTGTTTTTTTTAATAGCAAGGGCCTCTCCTAGGTTAGGAAAGAAATTATAGATAAATTCTCATTAGAAAACTGTGAAAAGTAGTGCTACCGTATGTCTTGCAAGTCAATACGTTTCCGTGATAACTAAAGCTTGTGTTGTTCTTTGTTTGGAAATACGTCTTAACTGTCAGAGATGCTGTTGAGGTTAGCCTTATTGCTGTGCTTGTTTTAATCTCTTGGAAAAGCCAGGTCTGCTGAACTAGAAAATAACATGTACAAGAGACTTTGAGTACAGAACATGAACTAGTAAACGCGTGTCTCAGCTCCTTTTAGTCATCAGTAGTTAATCATCGGTTTATGAAACTTTACCTGCCTAACACTTAGACTCTGAGTTTCATAGGCCTGCATTTAAGGTTACCCACGTGGGTCTTGGACTACTCTTACTGCCCCTTACCCCCTTTATCTATCCGCTCTTGGAAGGGAATCCACCAAAAGAACAACTTTTCTCTTGTTCTGACTGATCCAAGAGTGTTCTTCAGGTATCTATCTGTTGATTACCAGACCAGCTAATAAGGTAATTTTAGTATGATGGTGGATCTGATTTCAAGTGCAGGCATTCCCATTTGATCTGCTTTAAAAAAAAAAACCCTCCTAGAACGGGAAAAGCATTAATTAAATGGTATCAAACAAAAACAAGGGGTTGAAGCAGCAGAATCTTCCACACACATTCTCATCTCAGACCCGTAGTGAGAGGAGGGATCATATATCAAAGAATTTCTAAGCACTATGGGACATAGGATTCCTGGTGCTTCTTGTATCCTGTTTAAAGAGTCTTTTAAATTTTGATCGGGTTCTTGTTGTTGAATTGTCTTCACAGGTGGCTAAAGCAGCCTTTCAGCGAAACAATGATCCACTTGATGCAGCAATTTTTTACCTTGCAATGAAAAAGAAGGCTGTGATTTGGGGATTATACAGGTAGGAGACACCCAGGCTCTTAAATGGAGTTTCATAGTATCTAGTCTAATCTGGAAAAAAGTTGAATGTGATAATTCAAGAGAAATACAAATACTGCCATTGAAAGTGGAGAGGCAATTTCTAAATCACATGCTAAATTAAATGAGTAGCTATTAAGCTTCCTGTATCTACTGTGGTAATTTAGTTGCTGTTTCTAAAGGTGGATGCCTAAAGTTTAGTCTCAAATTTACATAACTTTCACCTGTTACTTAATTCTGAATTACTTCTAGAGGAGTGCCTGTGTTAAGTGTGGAATGCAATAGATATCTCTTCTAAAAGTAGCACACTACCTAAATTTTACCGTAATTTCAGAAGGCTGAATTAAGACTGGCTTGCAGTCTAGCCTTTCATAACGAGGCTTAACTTCAAAAACCTTTTAAAAATGTTTTTTGCTTTTAAGAACTCAACTGGGAAAAATGGCCTTTTCTATATTTGCATCAGACTAGCTGGTTATTTGTTACTAATGCAGAAACATTAGATTTCTTATTTAGTAAAGTTTTTGTTCATTTCAAAACATGAAGTCTCTCTTGTTCCCAGAGTTGTGCTAGCCTCTGCTTTTCCTAACGAAAAGACTTGTGTAAAACTCTGCTGACATGTGAGGAAATCAAAAGCCAAAATAAATTTAAGAAAATATGTAATATTTCTATCCACTATGTTCAATTTGCAGGTCCCAAAAAGATACTAAAATGACACAGTTTTTTGGGAACAATTTTACTGAGGACAGATGGCGTAAAGCAGCATTAAAGAACGCTTTTTCTTTGCTTGGCAAGCAGCGTTTCGAACATTCTGCAGCATTTTTCTTGTTGGCGGGACACTTAAAAGATGCAGTGGAGGTAATAAAATAATTGGGCTTTTTTTTTAAGGTTTAAGACTGTTGTATTTAGCGCTCTGAATTTTCAAAATGTATTGAAAGTGACTGAACTGCGTGAGAAACCTTTCAGTTTGAACTAGTATGACTTTCGAAGTTTCCAGTTTGTTTGTGCTGTCTCTTCCTCTCCCTCCCCTCCCTTATGTTAATGGCAAATACAAATCCTTGATGTTTGCTTATTGTTTCTGTTTTAGCTCTCACTTTAGTGTTACCAAAAAGTTCTGTGATTCACTTCTCCATAATAAAATCAAGCGGGCTATCAAACTGTGACCTGTCACATCTGAAAGCAGCGTAATTTGCATTAGGAGGTCCAGATCTGAAAACGAAGGTTCTTTGACAGTGCTGTGTGTTGGCTCCCAAAATCCGTTCACAGGAAAAGTATTTCCTGGGTCTCCTTAAAAGGCTATAACAATTGGGAGGGAATTCTGCTGTGTGATAATGAAGAAATTGTTTTGAAAGCTTCTTGATCAGAGCATAGTTTCAGGAAGTGGCCCGTGCACATTGACAATGATTTACTGAACCCTTTGGTTTCAAAGATCCAGTGTCATGTCAGACTTAAGAGGAAAAATTGTAACTCAGATCTTGCACATAACAGTTGGTGATTGCTGTTGATTTTTATGTATTTGTAATATTGGGTTTTGTTAATATATTTATTTTCATTTAGGTCTGCCTTGAAAAACTGAATGATATTCAGTTGGCTCTTGTAATATCAAGACTTTATGAGTCAGAGTTTGAAGTGTCTAGTACTTACAAATCTGTACTACAGAAGAGAATTTTGGGAAGTGTGTCTCCTGGAAAAGATAGCTCAGGAAATATGCACTGTGATCCTTTTCTACGAAGTATGGCTTACTGGATTTTGGAAGATTATAGCAAAGCTCTTGACACTTTAATTAAACATTCTGTTGGAGATGAAGGTGGTAAGAATATAAATACTTTGGCTGTTAGGTTAATTTGTAACTGAATGCATTTAGGTAATGTTATTGTAAAGTATAGTCTGAGTGTGACTGTGTACTGCACAGTTGTTCACTGTTGCTAGTGAACAGCTTATTGTAGCAATGTATGTGGTCTTTGTTTTAAATGATTTGTGTGTGTGTGTGTGTGATTATCCTGTGTAGCATGAATGGGTACTTCATTTATCCTTTAAATATGTGAATATCAGTATAATGAGAATGACCCTGCAGGGGTGTAGCTCTTCAGCTATTTCTCCTGCAGGAACTTAAGAGACTAATTAACTTAATCAGACTCTGTAACAATCTAAGAAAAGTTTTTGACTGCGTAGTTATGCAGCAGAGCCTAGGAAACATACTATTTTGTAGTTTTTAGTCATCAGGAAGAGTTGACCAGAATCATACACTGCCATAGAAAAGATTATTTTGATGTTTAGTGTGATGCTGTTCAGTTATTTTCACCTTGGTCACTTCCTCCTGTGTGTAAAAAAAAAAAAAAAAAAAAAAAAAAAAAAACAAAAAAAAAAAAAAAACACAACAAAAAAAAACCACCCCACAATGTTAAGTGCTACTAATTTTTCTTTAATCAGTCCAATAACTTGTTTGTGGGGTTTTGCTTTGTTTTCTTTCTTAATAGTTGCTCTTCTTTCATGCATCTCTTTGTATTATATGTAGTTAGTTGTGTCATAACTGCAGACAACAAACAAAAGGGTGTATCTCAGCTAGCCCAGACTCTTAGAAAGCTCTGTGAATCATCCTGTGCTGAAGCTTTCCAATGACTTCTCTGACCATCCATGTGTAAAATATCAGAATAAGATGGTACCTAGTTTTCTAGGCTTGTTTTGGGCATGAAAGCAAAATCCATAGGTGCTACATTGCTGCACGCTTCCTTTGCTGTACATAATTCAGATATTAACTTGTATGTATGTTACGGATTTCCCAGTTGTACTGAGTGGCATTTGTTAAGAGATGAATTAAGAAAGACTCATCTAAAACTTAGAAAATATCATTTTCTGAGGCAGAAGATTTTAGTATGATGCAATATCTTATCATACAGTGACTTGGCGATGAAGACTTTAGAAATCTAAACTCTGAATAAGAGCACAGTCTCCTTTGACTGCAGCAGAACTAGTCTGACTGCAAGGAAATGAAGCGATAGTTTTTCCCAAATTATGGGTCTTGCATGCTCCCGTTCAAGCTCCTGAAATTTGTTCTTTCCTTTAGTGGTGTTTAGGTCTTATGTCTTTTTTTTTTTACTCTTTTTTCTTTTCCTTCTAAGAGTATTTAAAGGGGACAGCAGTTAAGTTGACAGTAAAATGGATGTTAAGATTTAATAGCGTTCTGATGAAGATAAAACTTTGTAGATGGATTATTTCATACAGAATTGTAGATTTTCCTCATGATGCAATATCTTTTCAGGGGAAGGAGAAGGCTCATCCAATTGTAACCCTGCAGTGTTTAACTTCTATAACTACTTAAGAACACATCCTCTCTTGTTGAGACGTCATTTTGGCTCTTCTGATGCATCTTCCACGCCCGTTTGTCTAACAGTAGAAAATGGATTAGCTGATAAAATCAACCTGGGGGAAAGACGACTGTTTTTCACTACTGCATATGCTCACTTAAAAGCTGGTTGTCCTATGTTGGCTTTAGAGGTATTATCAAAGATGCCGAAAGTAGTTAAGAGTTCAAAGCCATTCTGTAGATCCCCTAGTTTAATGGATACTAGTAAAGACTCTTCACCATCTTCTCCAGTTAAAGGGTTGGAAATGAAAGACCGATCTTCAGCTGTTGACTGGTCACAACCAGTGTTGAACGGTCTAGGGTCCTCTTCAGATTGTTCATCAGGAAAGCATTCAAGTTCAGCTCTTTCGTTTGACTGGAGCCAACCAAGTCTGGTATTCCAAGATGAGCCTTTGGAACTACAGTGGGACAGTGATAAAGATGATGAGAGTGAAGATTCTTCCCTGGTAATGAAAGAGTTAAAGCCTTTGAAGGAAAGTGAAAAATTAGATGAAATAAGTTCTAGCTACACAGGATCTTTTAGTGCAGTTGATGAGAAAGATGTTTTAAGTGCATCAGAAGATATAATTTCAGCGCAGCTGAAATTCAGAGCATGCCTGAAAATTCTTACTGTAGAGCTTCGTACACTATCCACTGGTTATGAGGTAGATGGTGGGAAGCTAAGGTATCAGCTTTATCAGTGGCTTGAAAGAGAAGTGGTAGCTCTTCAGAAAACCTGTGAATACAGTGCTGAAGTGGAAGAGATACAGTCAGGTATTGCTGTGATGCCAGAGGAAGTTGCATTAAATGAAAATGCTGAAGACTTACCTGACCAGCAAAAAAACATGCTACAGAAAGAAAACTTTCAGAGAAGACGTCAGTGGCTCCTGAAATACCAGTCACTCCTAAGAATGTTTCTTAGTTACTGCATACTTCATGGCTCTCATGGTGGAGGCTTGGCATCTGTCAGAATGGAACTAATTCTGCTGTTGCAGGAATCTCAGCAGGTATGTGGGGGGGGG